TGCGGAGTCCTCCGAAGAGTGTAGCAGAATTCCTGACCGAAGCCACTACGATGGAGAGGGTACTTCATCAGCGGTCAGCCCTACTCAACCGGCAAGTGAATTCTGCATCACCTACTGAATTTTCCGCCAGCTTCGGGAGCAACAGCATTGAGTGGATTCGCGAAATCGTCCGCTCCGTCGTCCGCGAGGAAATCGCGAAACTACACGGGGCGAGACAGCCGGAGGTAAGCAGCATCACCAATATTATTCGGGACGAGGTCCAGCAGGTGCTTCACAGCCGTCGCCCTCAACCAACGGTTACAAATCTAGAACCACCTCCTGCGTCCACTGATGTTGGGAACCGCACATATGCCGAAGCTCTGCGCACTTCCATGCCGGTCTCAAGCCCTGCAGTCCCAATCCAGACGATGCCGCCAGTTTCAATTCAATCTGCGCATGCTGGTTTGGACATCGACGGTCGCCGTGCCCCTCCGCGGAAGTCCGATATTTGGCGTACGTCGGATAGAAGACCCCTCTGCTTCCATTGCGGTGAAGCCGGTCACATCTACCGGGAATGTCCATACCGACAACTTGGACTGCGCGGTTTCTCTATTCATTCGCCTCGTCCCCTAGTTGGTCAGAGGCCAAGAGAAATTGAGGACTACCTCGCGCAGCAACGTCTGCCTTTCCCACGGCGTCAATCGCGGTCTCCATCTCCACGACGACCCGCAGCTATTGGACCACGTCTCAGTACGATGGCACGGGGACGTTCCCCAAGCCCTCGTCGGGAAAACTGAAGGCAGCGACCTTCGGGGGCGAGGTCGCTGGGACTAAAAGTGCGGAAGACCTCCTATCGACGCTTCCACAAAACGCTGCAGACATTGAATTGACGTCTGAGTGCAGTGCGAGAGAAATGCCGGATTGTGCGTCTGAACCCAGTGGCCGAGTCTCACTCGACATTCCCGTGCTGATAGACGGTCTTCAGGTCAGCGCATTGGTGGACACAGGTGCAGATTATTCTATTATGAGCGGAAAATTGGCAACCAGTCTTAAGAAAGTGATGACACCTTGGAATGGGACGCGTATTCGCACTGCTGGAGGCCACGTTATTACTCCATTGGGTCGCTGTACCGCAAGAGTGGAAATACGCGAGTCAACGTTTGTGGTAACCTGCCTCGTACTACGCGACTGTTCTCGTCAGCTCATCCTTGGAATGGACTTCCTTCGAGAGAATGGCGCGATCATAAATCTCCGCGAGCGAATGGTGACTTTCTCGACGCAACTTGCAACCGATCGAGGCGCTGATAGCTGTCGTAGACCTGCGCTGCGTGTTGCCGACGAAAGCGTGACGTTGCCTCCCCGAGCGACTGCTTTCGTAGAAGTCACCTGTGAAGACCTCCAAGACGGTGACGTGGTCGCCGAGAGCAACGTATCCCTTTTACTGCTTCAAGGTGTGTGTGCAGTGCGAAGCATTCTGCGTGTGCGTGACGGACGGTCGCAGATACTCGTCACAAATTTTAACTTCGAGCACCGACATCTTTTCCGCGGCACCACCGTGGCCTTCGGAGACCGTGTAGCGGATGTCACCGAGTGCTTCGCATCCGAGGAAATGGTTGATGGAGATAAGTTTCTGGACCACATCGACGTCAGTTCGAAGCTTTCGGACGAGAAGAAGGCCGCACTGCATACCCTGCTGAAGGAATTTAAATCTTGCTTCGCCTCTTCATCTAGAGTCGGTCAAACACCCCTCATAAAGCACCGAATTATTACCGACGATGATGTTCGCCCAATCCGCCAGCAACCTTACCGTGTTTCGGCTAAAGAACGCGAGACTATACAGACGCAGGTAAAGGAGATGCTTGACGACGGGGTGATACAACCGTCGAGCAGCCCGTGGTCCTCGCCAGTCGTTCTAGTAAAGAAGAAAGACGGAACGCTGCGATTCTGTGTTGACTACAGGAAACTCAATAGCGTCACCAAAAAAGACGTCTACCCGCTTCCACGGGTTGATGATTCTCTCGACAGGCTACGACACGCGAAGTATTTTTCATCGATAGATTTGAAGAGCGGCTATTGGCAGATAGAGGTCGATGAGCGAGACAGAGAGAAGACAGCGTTTGTAACTCCCGATGGGCTTTATGAATTCAGAGTTCTTCCTTTCGGCCTCTGTTCGGCTCCCGCAACATTCCAGCGAATGATGGATACCGTCCTCGCTGGCTTGAAGTGGCAAAGCTGCCTTGTATACCTTGATGATGTGGTCATCTTTGCCGAGAGTTTCGAAGAACATCTGAAGCGTCTAAGAATGGTTCTGGAAGCTATTCGTTCGGGCCGAACTCACGCTAAAACCCCAGAAGTGCCATTTCGGCTACGATGAGCTGAAATTCCTGGGACATGTTGTGAGTGCGGATGGAGTGCGGCCTGACCCAGAAAAAACTGCAGCAGTCGCCACCTTTCCTGTGCCGTCAGACAAAAAAGCGGTACGGCGTTTTCTCGGCTTGTGTGCTTATTATCGCCGATTCATTACCAACTTCTCGACGATAGCCGAACCGCTCACGCGACTCACCCGAGATGATGTACCGTTTGCCTGGACTACAGAGCAAGAAGCAGCTTTCACAGAGTTACGGCAGCGAATGCAAGAGGCACCTGTTCTTGCGCATTTTGATGAGGACGCTGATACCGAAGTTCACACGGATGCAAGCAACGTCGGACTTGGCGCTGTCCTTGTACAACGGCACAACGGCGTAGAACATGTCATAGCTTACGCCAGTCGTACTCTCTCTCGAGCCGAGGCCAACTACTCCACTTCAGAGAAGGAATGCCTCGCAGTCGTGTGGGCAACGGCAAAGTTTCGACCTTACCTCTACGGCCGTCCCTTCAAGGTGGTGACCGATCACCATTCGCTGTGTTGGCTGGCCAATCTCCGTGACCCGTCTGGTCGTCTCGCTCGGTGGAGTTTGCGCTTGCAAGAGTTTGACATCATGATTGTGTATAGGTCTGGGCGCAAGCACGAAGATGCCGACGCACTTTCTCGAGCACCCGTGGGACATCCTGATATGGACTCGGAATATGCTGATGGTTTTCTCGGAGCCCTCAGTGATTCTGACTTTATGTCTAGACAGAGAGCCGATCAGGAATTGCGCCCTATTATTGATTCCTTAGAAGGCCGAAATTCTCACACTCCTCGGCGCATCGCTCGCGAATTGTCATCCTTTGTCTAAGGAGGGGCATTCTTTACAAGAAAAATGCTCGAGGTAGCAACAAAGCCTTCCTCCTCGTTGTACCAGCCGACATGCGGGATGACATCCTCCTCGCGTGCCATGACGAGCCCACGTCGGGACACTTGGGCTACTCGCGGACTCTCGCCAGAGTGCGCCAGCAGTACTATTGGCCACGACTTTCGACCAGTGTACACCGCTACGTGCAAGGCTGCCGCGAGTGCCAGCGTCGCAAGACGCCACCCGTGAAACCTGCGGGCCTTCTCCACCCTATTACACCACCACGGACACCTTTCGACCTCGTGGGAATGGACCTTCTAGGACCCTTCCCTTTGTCGGCCACTGGTAACAAATGGATTATAGTGGCAACCGATTACTTGACCCGGTATGCTGAGACAAAGGCATTACCCCGCGGCACGGCGTCTGAAGTGGCGAAGTTCTTCGTGCAGCACATCGTCCTCCGGCACGGCGCGCCGTCATGTGTGATTACGGATAGAGGAACATCATTTACGGCACAAATGCTAGAGGACATTTTCAGACTGAGCTGCACGAGTCACCGAAAAACAACGGCTTACCACCCACAAAGTAATGGACTGACGGAAAGGCTCAACAAGACCATAGCGGACATGCTGTCAATGTACGTGGACGTGCAGCACAAAACCTGGGACGATATCCTCCCATACGTCACGTTCGCATACAATACGGCAATGCAGGAAACAACCCGATTTTCACCTTTCCACCTTGTTTATGGACGCAACGTACAAACGATGCTTGACGCTATGCTGCCGTACGATAATAGCGATGCTCTTTCTCCAGAAGCCGAGCAATACACGCAGTACGCCGAAGAGGCTCGTCAACTGGCTCGCGTGAACATCGGTCACCAACAAGACACAGATGCACGACGTTACAACCTTCGCCGTCGAAACGTCGCATACCACCCGGGTGAACGAGTGTGGGTGTGGACTCCTGTCCGACGACCAGGCTTGTCTGAAAAGCTTCTGAGCCGTTATTTCGGACCATACAAGGTTATCCGACGTGTGAGTGACCTTACATACGAAGTACTTCCGGACGGCACAGTGTCGTCACGTCGACAACATCGGCCCGAAACTGTGCATGTCGTACGACTCAAGCCGTACTACACACAATAGTCTCTGTGCTTGCGAGTTACTTCGCAAACGTGACAGTGATCTCATGTGGTGTTTTTTTTTTTTTCTTGACTCTTCCACTGGTGCTGTTGTGTTCGCGCATGGTCCAAGTGCTTGTGCGCCCTCTTTGTTTTCCCTGGCACTCACTTTGTCATTCTCTGCGTCAACGCGTGTTCTAATTATGGGTTTTTTTTTTTCTTCTTCTTTTTATTTAGAAGCATCGAGTCGATGCTTTTTAAAAGGGGGGACTAATGCCGCATGAATTCGCGTGGTTTTCGTGTGGAAGAGGACGAAGAGGTTGGGATTGAGCCGCTTTTTAATGCCGCATGAATTCGCGTGGTTTTCGTGTGGAAGAGGACGAAGAGGTTGGGTTGGAGCAGTTTCTTTCTTTTTGTCCTAGCTTGACGAGCAGTTCTGCGGAAGGTTTCCTTGAGTGAGACAAGATTGGTGACAATATTGTGACGGTCACGCGAATATTGTTCGTTTTAAACGAAAGTTCGTCTTAAGTGGGGCCGTTATATGTGGGCTCGACTGTAGTCGCCACGGGTCTGCAGATGAGCGTGTATGTACATTAAGATTTTTGCCCTTGTCCTTCGTTTTAGTTGAGTCTTGTGCCGGCAGTCCGTGCTCCCTGCATGTCTCTTATCATTGCGTGTTGCAGAGAACCCACGCAACTCCAAGGTGCACGGGACAGTGCTGAAGAAAGTGCATTTGACACAGCGAACTTCGCCCAGGACAGAGCCCGCCAGTCTGCTCGAAGCGCGCTCCAAGAGCCCCAACTCCACCTCGGGTAAGTGCTCGCTTTCCTGTGAAAGGCAGTTCTGGTCGCTCAAACACTGCTTTATTTTATCTATTTATTTCATCATACTGTGGTCCAAAGTTGTCAACATTAACATGAACAAGTGTATCCAGAATTTACACACTCTCAAGTATTTGCTCTCTTTATGCCTTCTTCTAGTGGTTTCTTGCAATCCTTGAAAGATTTCGAAGTTTTTGGAGGGCTTTAAGAACTGCTGTGAATTCTTGGTTCATTCTTATTTCTTTAATGGATAGTCGTTGATTACACTCAAATCTCGATATAATGAAATATCGGTTATTACCAAGCAAATGAAGAATAATTTTGGAACAGATATGGTGTTAGGAATAAACCTTTATAACTAATTTTTGGATATAACGGACCTATTTTGGTGTAAGATGCAACTATGTTATAATCAGGCTGAGTGTGTGGCAATAATATGTCGCAGTAGTATTGAAAGTTAGGCTAGTTGCTAAGATAGCATGCTTAGGTCCAATGCTATAATGACGAAGACTGGAGGAAAACAGTCTTTGCTTATGCAGAGATATTGTCAAGACATAGATTCCACACAATTAGAGAGGTGACAGGCATTCCACATTAAGGGGAGATGCTAGTCTTGAAATGAAAATTTTTATTATTGGAGATACTATAATGCAATTATTTATTTTTATTTTATTTAGCAATACTGCTAGCCCCAACATGGGGCCATAGCAGAGTGGGTGAACATAGTACAAAAAAATCAACAATACAATACTGCAGTCAACACAGAACAAAGCAGTTCAAACAACATAAAAAATGTTTCACGTGAAAAAAAAAAAACAAAAAACTAGTCAGATATACATTTTTCAAATGCCTCGATACTGGCTGTTTCAACAATTTTGCTGTCAAGCTCATTCCATTCTTTGGCAGTGCGCGGAAAAAAGGAATACTTGAAAGTATTATTATTGGGCTGGAAAGGAACGACAGTGTGTTTGTGACGTTGTCTGGTAGAGTAACCGGAAGAGAACTTTAGGTATTCACCTGTGGTACTATTTATTTGACCATTAACTATCTTAAAGAAGAACAACAAACGGGAAATTCTATTTCTTTCTGAAGTCCGTTTGAATCCCGCTTTGGCAACTAATTCAGAGACTGACGTTGGGCCGTATTTATTGAAAATAAACCGGACAGCCTTGTTTTGGATTCTATCTAGCTTATGGATATTGACATTGGTGTAAGGATCCCAGATAATGTTTCCATAATCCAAAATGGGTTGGATAAGAGATTTGTACGCCAGAATTTTGGTGTCGTATGATGAATAGCGAAGAGAACGTCTCAAAAAATGTAATTTCATCATTGCATTATTAGATATGTAGTTGATATGTCGATCCCAGTGGAGGTTGCTACATATATGCAAGCCTAGATACTTGTACTCTGTTACTCGATTTAGGATATTTCCATCAGCTGTGTAATTGTAAACAAGGGGACACTTATTTGTTATCGACATGGCCACACTTTTTTGATAGTTTACACACATTTGCCAAGAATTACACCACTTCATGAGTTTCTCAATTTCTGTGTTAAGCTTAACTTGGTCTTCAACTGTGTGAATAAGTGAATACAACGCACAATCATCTGCATATAATCGTATTTTAACCCTGCAATTATCAACAATATCATTAATGAACACCAAAAACAACAACGGGCCGAGCACAGAGCCCTGGGGAACCCCTGAGCCAACAGGTAACATGTTTGAGGGAGTGTCTTTAAAAACAACGTATTGCTGCCGGGATGTTAGATACGATTTAATCCAGCTACACAGTTTCCTGTTTTTTAATAATGTGTTCAGTTTAATGAGCAATTTAGAATGGGAAATCTTGTCAAATGCTTTAGCGAAATCTAAAAAAAAAAAAATTTAAGTGTGTATATGTATTTTTTTCTCCTTTTTTCAAAAATATAATTAGTTTTTATGTACACCGACTAGTTATCCAATTCTGAGAGCATAAGTGAAGTCTAATTGTGCAATTTATCACAGGTCATTAAGGCACTTTCCCTCAATGATTTAGGTTCTATTTAGGATGCAGCTGTAGCCAAAGACCTGCTGTGCGGAGCTAGGCCATTTATATTGTCACTGAGATACATTATCATATAAAAATTCTCATTTGCGTTGTTCCTCTACAATTTTGAAATTCAATTCGCTTACATTGTTGTTCATAACATTTCATATGTCCCTTTTAGCCACAAAATATAGTATAGCTCCACAGTCCTGTGTCTTACGAGTTCAACGATATAAAATTTTTAGAAATTGCTTCACAAAAACTTGATTGAAAATTCTGTAAGGCCGGTCAGGTTGGCTAAAAATGTGAAGCTGAGAAAATCGCATTTGAAGTTTCGACATGCACTGCAAGATTTTTATAAGGAACTTTTACCACAAATTTTATGCACATGTACGCCACCTATTCCCCTGCAAAACAAAACAAAATTTGCCTTATTCTACCCTTGGAATCATTTTTCCAATGTGGAAAGCATTATCAGAACCCCACCATGACTAGCTGTTGAGGGGTTCTGGAAAAGCCGTGGGGTATGAGGCTCAAATGACTAGCTGTTAGGCAGCATGCTGCCTTTGTTAATAAACTGCTATGTTCCGGACTCTCAAGGTACAATGAAAGTATCCGGAAAATGGGGCATCCATCCAGTAAAACTAATGCCCGCAAAAATGCCCCCTTTTTATAGGTATTTTTTTGCTGACGCAGAAGGTCATGGTTGTAGTAAAAAATTCTCGTTGCAATTTTGTAAATGCATCATTTAGGTGGTCTGGAAAGAGCCGTTTATAAAAAAAAAAAAAATTTAAGTGTGTATATGTATTTTTTTCTCCTTTTTTCAAAAATATAATTAGTTTTTATGTACACCGACTAGTTATCCAATTCTGAGAGCATAAGTGAAGTCTAATTGTGCAATTTATCACAGGTCATTAAGGCACTTTCCCTCAATGATTTAGGTTCTATTTAGGATGCAGCTGTAGCCAAAGACCTGCTGTGCGGAGCTAGGCCATTTATATTGTCACTGAGATACATTATCATATAAAAATTCTCATTTGCGTTGTTCCTCTACAATTTTGAAATTCAATTCGCTTACATTGTTGTTCATAACATTTCATATGTCCCTTTTAGCCACGAAATATAGTATAGCTCCACAGTCCTGTGTCTTACGAGTTCAACGATATAAAATTTTTAGAAATTGCTTCACAAAAACTTGATTGAAAATTCTGTAAGGCCGGTCAGGTTGGCTAAAAATGTGAAGCTGAGAAAATCGCATTTGAAGTTTCGACATGCACTGCAAGATTTTTTATAAGGAACTTTTACCACAAATTTTATGCACATGTACGCCACCTATTCCCCTGCAAAACAAAACAAAATTTGCCTTATTCTACCCTTGGAATCATTTTTCCAATGTGGAAAGCATTATCAGAACCCCACCATGACTAGCTGTTGAGGGGTTCTGGAAAAGCCGTGGGGTATGAGGCTCAAATGACTAGCTGTTAGGCAGCATGCTGCCTTTGTTAATAAACTGCTATGTTCCGGACTCTCAAGGTACAATGAAAGTATCCGGAAAATGGGGCATCCATCCAGTAAAACTAATGCCCGCAAAAATGCCCCCTTTTTATAGGTATTTTTTTGCTGACGCAGAAGGTCATGGTTGTAGTAAAAAATTCTCGTTGCAATTTTGTAAATGCATCATTTAGGTGGTCTGGAAAGAGCCGTTTATAAAAAAAAAAAAAAATGTTGACGGTGCTACCTCTGCACCGTCAGCGCTGCCGAAAATCTGATGGCGCCTACTCCAAGGAGGTCGAACTTTCGGGTAGCCGACTTTCCCGACAAAACGGTCTTCGTTTGCGCCGATTTCTCGACTCGCTGCTCCTGTTCCGCCGTTGAGTAGTACGCTGCATCAATCCGAAGTGTATGGCTTGTCGAACTTGGCCCTACAGCGTCGTAGTAGACAGCGTCGTTAAGGTTTCCGGCGGATATAACGGGTCAGCCGTGACTGCAACTAGCTGCCAAAGGGCACTTGTGGCCGGCGCCTTCTTGTTTGTTCCAAGGCCGTTTATTTATGGCTTCAAAAATCTCGTCGCGTCGATGATTTCAGACGAGAGTCTCCAGGCATTCGATCGCAGTGAAAAAGTGCCGGTGCAAAACAGAAACACGGTGCGTCGAGAAACACGCACGATCGCAAGAGCAGACGCTTACAAACTGACAGCCACGGCGGCAAACGCAACACAAAGAAAAAAAAAAGACGCGTCGGTCACCCCAGCCAATGGGAGACTCGAAAAGGCGCCCGTGAGGGCAAATCGGCGATCTGGAAACGACCTTCAGAAAACCCATGACGACAGCCATTCCACTTGAGCGACGCCATTTTGAGATGGCGCAAATTGTGCACAAAGAAAACAGCTTCAAATCAAGCCCAACATGGCGGCGCTCGGTCTGCCGCGATGCACATGGCGCGCACAGGAAGTTCGAACAAATTTCGTCCTTATAAGAACATTTTAGTGCGACCGGGGTGCATTGAAGGCCGATTTTATCGCGTTTCCCGACCGAATTCAGTGTTAGCAATTTGAGAGTAGGTGCTCAGAAGTACAAACGCCCTGAAAATAAGCTTTGCGAAAAATTCATTTTTTGACCATTTTTGATCGTTTTAAGACCCGCGTCCCTCCCTTAAAAAAGCCATCTTAACCATTGAAAGTGCCACTTCAATCTGCGGATAGTTAGCAGGCCTATGGAAGGCCCACCAACACTGAATTGTCTTGTTCGTGGCTTTCAGCTGCTTGTGCTGCCGTCGCTATTAGAACACAAAAACTCAACTCCGAAGTGCCTGCCGGCGGCCTTGTTGCCATTGTTTAGTGCGTGATCAATCACTTTCAACTTGAAAGCAACCGCGTAGCTTCGATATCGACCTATAGCGTAACCACGGAATGGACGCAAAAACATGCGCCACTTAGACTACCACTGATACGCCGAAACGCGTATTTGCCACTTGCTTCGCTTTGCTTGGGGCTCCGTGCATTGATAGTAGGTATGATGTTTAAGAGATGGCACTACGCTGTTGTGCACTATCGTCATCAGTGGTTTGAAGAAGCAGAAGACATTATTGCTGCAATTTTTGAGGGTGTGATAATTACTCGTGGAAGAAAAAAATCTTGTCTTTGTGAAAGAGTGTGGGAGGGGGGGGAGCTATAATTACGCGAGTAGGAGGATTATGCAAGATACCTGGTACGGAATTTCTACATGCCAGGTGTCTTGGTTTTCAGCAATCTTGTGCTTGGTCATTGTTTGTTCCTACTCTAGCGGACTCACACAATGAATGTAGAGTTCCGACAAGGCTCAGTTGTGGAACAAAAACAGTGCACGCATGGCAGTAGTGATGTGAAAGGCACTGCATAGTGTTTTAGGATACTGCGCTATGTGTTGTTGTCACTTAGGTTGGGATTCTGATTTTGCAGTCTGGGCCATGAACAAGCCCAGATTATTGGCTCTTCAGCCAAGTTGGCATTTCTTTAGTCATGCTTTAGCACTGACTGCCCTCCATAGTACGAAACAATGATCTCCAGTGGAGCATGGATTCTGCATACAGTTCTCTTGGCCCTTGTGCATATGTATGGGAAAAAACGAAACAAGTCGCCCCGCCGTGGTGATCTAGTTGCTAAGGTACTCGGCTGCTGACCGCAGGTCGTGGGATCGAATCCCTGATACGGTGGCTACATTTTCGGGGGAGGCAGAAATGCTGTAGGCCCGTGTGTGCGCAGATTTGGGTGAGCGTTAAAGAACCCTAGGTGGCCGAAATATCCAGAGTCCTCCACTACGGAGTCTCTCAAAATCTTATAGTGGTTTCGGGATGTTAAACCCCTACATACCAATAAATTAATCAATAAAAACAAATACAAAAACACACACACACACACACAGGAAGCTTGCACTCTAAGGGAGCTTATCATGTCCTTAAAGCTATGTGATCGTTGCTGTTTTGATGGGGATGCTTTGCCACGCTGGTAAATGAGCATGCCAATTGTGGCGTTAAAGTACGATGTGCATAGCATTAGCTTAATGGGAGGGTATGCAAGAACATGACAGTTATACTACTGGTTCGAAAGTAAGATAGGCCGTAAAGAAAGGTACCGGCATTATTTAGTGAAGTGTGGTTGACAACTGGGCTTGTATCTTGTGCAGGTGCGTTGCCCTCTGCCGTGTCGGCGGTCGGAGCCCTCAGCCCCAAGTTGGGACGCCCTGCTGGCCTGACTGGCCCCTCACCAGCCGTCAAGACTGCTGTGTCTGCTTCGCAGAACTCTCTTTACAAGGCTCTGCTGCCGTTAAACAAGGTGAGGTCGCACAGCATCTCTCGGTACAGTTTTTATTAGCAGACCTGTTTAAAGGCATTTGCAACCGATTTAACCTAGTTTTCGCGACACAACAGAAAGCTCACCTTTGTTGTTGGTGAAACCTGCTATTGTTAATTCCCAAATCATGTGGATGTTTTCTAAGCAGAACTTTTTTATTGAAGCTGCTAAAAAAGTTGGTCCTTCCTTTAGAGAAGCAATAGCAATGCTGGTAATCCTCCTTGCAAACTGTTATTACACTCAACGTTCTGGCTTCACTGGAGTGAGTGCAACTATTGTTCACCACCATAATTTCTTCACTTTTAAACCATATTTGAATGTAAAAAGCAGATCGAATGATTTTGCCAAACGCTCATCGTCATGTGAAGTCCCTTTTACTGCCTCACTAGGTTGGCACTCCTCGTACTTCTCAAACTTGTTGGCAGGTGACGCTAGGCCCTCAGCTAACGACTGTCATGCTTCTACCTTTGCACATTAGATCATAGATGAAGCAACGGCATAGCCACCGCTCTGCCTAGTACGAAGGTGTATATACACATTTTCAGCTAGAAAAGATTGTAATATATAAAAGTGTACCGCATTTCGGCACTAATTCAGAGACAGTTAAGTCCTTGAAAAGTATTCATTAGGTCTTTGAAAGTTCTTGAAAACCCCTGAATTTTGTTTCACTCAGATGCTATAAACCCTATAGAGGTTTCAAATACATGAGCTTCTATGGAGAAGGGCGGGGCGCAGAAAAAGTTCATTATATCGAGGAATCTGTATATGGAGGTTCATTATAAGCAGGTTTAACTGTGCAATGAAATATCGGTTATAACGAAGTAAATGAAGAATAGTCTCGCAGTGGATTTAGTGTTAGGAATATACTTTTATAACAAATTTTCGGATATAAGAAACTTGCTTTTGTATAAAGTTGACATTGTTATAATGAGGTTTGAGTCTGTAATAAAGTATTTTGTGGCAGGTGCGACTTTGTTGTAATGAGGTTTGAGTGCAATGAATTTTTTCTGTACTGTGTCAAGTGAATGCACGTAGGAGCCTGTAAGTTTTTGTGTTGGCTGCTCGGGAAATATGGGCTGGTGAGCGCGTTCTGTTGTAAAAACAGCCTGGCCGTGGGCATTGTGCGCGTGTTCTCTACGCAGAAGAGCCAGCCGGGACACGCCATGGAGATCCTGGTAAAACATCCCAAGACCAAGGGCAACAAGGGGGACTTTCTGAAAGCACTTCGTTCGACCGACGGTAAGGAGGTCGACGGGGCGACCACCAAGGCGGCAGGCGGGGACACCATGGACCTGCACGACCGCACTAACGGCCACGCCGAGGTGAATGCAGCCCCCGTTCTTTTTGGGGGAAAATGTGGCACATGAAAACTTTTTATTTTTTTGCAATCCTGATCGATTTTAATAACTTGCAGAGTTCATAAATGCTCCTCTGTTGGTTTCAAATATTCAGTCCCTTTTTTTTATATGATATCACAAGCAGCTACTTTGTTTAAAGCCTTGTTTGCGGTAACCAATGTAAAACCCACAGAATTTTTTGAGAATGTTTGAAGATGGTCAAAGTATAAATCATTGCTTTAGGCCATTTCTTAGCCAAGTTGTGGTCTGTATAACGAGATTTAGAAAGGGCCCTTATTGATAACTGAAACAAAATCTTTTATTTAAAACACTTTCTTATGAAAGTATTATGACAAAATGTTCCGTACGACACATCACATTTGTTCATGTCAGAAACAAAAAAACTGTAAATATAACCCAAATAGAACAAAAAAGATCCATCACAGGAAGGACCTAAAAATTTGATCCCTGGTCATTTTTGAATCTAACGGAAGAGTGCATGGGTGATCCATTTTTTTAATGTAGGATAATGATACACGTTCACAGTATTTGGCTACGAAAACTTTCAAATAGATGTGTAGTGCCGTCAGGAACGTGCAGAGATTGTCAGCGAAAACATGACATTTTGACATGACATTTCCTCCGAAATTTGCCAGCTAACGTTCGCATCAAACCCATGGCGTTCGCAACAAGTGGTGCAAAAGGTCATCACGATGACGGCACAGATTGCCGAAATTCGAGACATGGTTATGAATAACATTACTGTACCGTCACTTGACATCATGTACAAAACGCTGCCATTGTGCCCAGTGTATGCGGCCGACAAAACTCATTTCCACCACACTTTTTTCCTCGAGTGCATTCATTTTTGGGGTTGCCTCGCCCATTGCGCAATGTACTTCCAGTCAGTGTTCGTGCGCTTCTCCTGGCCTACTACACAAAATTTATGCTTCTTTATGGAGCAGTGGGTACCCATCAGTGGGCTTGTAGCATCCCAAAGAGTGTTTAGAAAAGGCTCTGAAAGGCCGCTCTTCTAGCATTCGCGCTGTTACTGTGCTGCACGTTCCACGCAGGCCTGTCGTTTTTTTTTTTTCATTAGGTTCGCAGCTAGCCTTCAGCTACGAGTCCAGCCAATTGGTTGCTTTGTATGTCGTACATGCCTGCAAAAGAGGAACTTGAATTTTGAACAAGTTTATGCATCACTGATGCAGGTGGACAATGGCCCAAGGGGTGATGAAGGCGGTGACTTGGAGTCCTCGTCGTGCGACTTTGGAAATCTGTCACTGGACACGCCCGAACACCCGCCACTCTCGAGCTCACTGGAGGCGGAGCAGAGGTGAGTACAGTGGAACTGCAATTGAGTGTCCTCCCGGTTTTGTGACAGTCCCCCATTTTACGATGAATCGGTTTGGTCCTGGCAAAAGTGCCAATAGTAATTATGTATTGAAGGGATACTGACACAAAATTTCACCTGCAAGACAGCCTGCGGGGTTGATTCTCGTGAACATGGGTATATCATCCGCAAAATATCAACAGCGAATGTAGCTTAAAAATCATTTTTCAGTAACTTTAAAGTTTGAATCTTGAAAGTATTGGAACCATCAAATAGGAACCCATAGGGAGCCCCTTATTTCCCTCACATCACCACACTGCAGTAAGTAGAAGAAGTTACGTTTTATAGCCGGCATTTCTGTATTGCCGTGTTGCAGCTGTTGATCCTTTTTGGTGCCTGCACGCGAGTCCGTGGCCGCGGGGCACGCGTTGGAAGTTTTGTGTTTGGCGACACTACTTTCCCGTTTACTGTTTGAAATGACTTTTTTGATGTAAACCGTGCAGAAGTGCGTTGGAGTTCTGTGTCGACATTGTCGAGAGCTGCACCCACTAAGCGGCGATAGTTGCGCCCGGCGGCTTGTTGTATTTCGTGCTCTCTCGAACCAAAACTGAAACCGGTTGGTAGTGAGGAGCCCGTACATAATTATCCGTCGCACCCTGCAGCCGACAATGTGTTGTGTTGCGACTAGCAGGCCCCCAGCAACACATTGCAGCAAAAAAAGTCGAAGCCATAGTTTTTGTGTCAGTACCCCTTTAACACTATTGCATTAAAACATGCAATTTCTTTATAAACCTGCGACATCGTTGCCTTGTGCAGGCTGTTGCGGGAGATGGGCTGGAAGGAGGAGGCTTCAGATGACGACACCTATGCGCCACTGACTGAGGAGGAGCTCCGCGAGTTCCAGAACCTGACCAAGCTGGTAGGTGCAAGTGCTGTTTTTACCACTGTGTGTGTGTGCAGCAGTGATTGTCATGATGATAGTCATTTAGAGCTTAAGGGAGGACATTGTGTGTGAAGATATTTTCTGTATTTGTGGACCAAACATGATGGAAATACACATGCTTATGTAGTTTCTCCTGCTGATTTCAAATATGCAAAAATTTTCATTGTAGGTCAATTAATTTGAAGATACACAATGCTGCCACTCTATAATTGGAAAGAAAGTGCTTATCAAAAAGTAAATATTATTGCATAGCTAGACAGTGCAATTAGCAATAAGTGCAATGCTGCAAGCAGATTTCAAATTAAAAAAAAACTAGTGATTCTGCAGATGATGAAAGTTGAAGAGTCATGTCATGGCTATCACATACAAAGGAATTTAATGCTTTCTAAATTTATATAGGCAGCAAATGAAAATTCTGCTCTCAGCACTTTGTAATACACAGATTGGGCTTTACGTTAATGAGAAAATTATTGCTCTAGCTGTTCTAGATTGCAAGATATCAACCCGACAAACTAGTAAAGTCAACAAAAAGCATGTTTTCAGAAAACTGAGAAAAAGAAATAAAACTCATTCATTTACATAACTGCACTTGAAAATGCTCAGTATGCTTCGGGCACGTAGTCCTTTTGACTGAGTCCCTGTGTGGTGCTTTTTCAGGGACTGGTGCATGTGCTTCCGTTGCTTGTCGCTTCTTGATCGATGCTGCCGCGCGCCGTCGATCCTTTTTAGCCATGCAACTGCGGCTTTGCCAGCTGGGGTTTAGGCTCAGCTCTTTCATAATGTCTTCTGATGCCTTTTTATTGCCTGCATTGAACTTGAGCACTGCTTCTGCCACAGCTGCCTCCACCGTGAATAGCGAAGCATGTCACTCCTTTGGTGCCAGTGCCCAGATCATTGAATGGAGGCATTTGTTGTTATTTTGGGTTTTCCCTCGCTGGCATCGTTGCAACAGCTTTCTGCCTGACAAGCGCTCAAAAATGGGAAGTAAGGCTTGGCAGACATGTGGAGGCAGCTTTCGACGATGTTTGGGAATGGGCTCCCCCTTGGCCTTTGCCACATTTTGTTTGCACCAGGAATTTGGACCAGGTAGGCACAGAGTGTGGTTTGCCACATCATCATTGGACGTGATGTGATGATAAGTGGCCATCACTGCTGTGTGCATAGCATCAACATCACCACTGTGTGTCTTCAGAGCCCAACCATAATAATTGGTGAGTTTGGAGATCAGGTCTCCTGTCAAGCGGCCCTTTCCCCCAAGACTCTCAAGGCCAGGGCCTTTGTGTTTTGCAATCAAGTTGCGCAAAGCGGTGCCCGTACGCTTTTGGACATGATTAATGCAGTCCTCTTTTTTCACTGGGATATACCGATGAACCTTATCTTCTTGTAGCGCAAGGTAACTGCGGCTGTCCCCGTCGCAAAGCACCGTGGTGTAGCGCAGGTTGTGCCGCTCAAGTGACCACCTGAAAAGGATGAGGGCAGTCTCAACCTCCATTTTCCCAGCCTTCTTGTTACTGTTTTTTTGACACTGGTGATGTTCCTTCCACGCTGCACAAGAAGGGTCACCTTCCTTTGGGCCCGACTCGCATCCAGCACAAAAGTTGCTCAAAACAACGAAGTCAAGCACCAGCCCGCTGAACAATTCTATGATGGTGCCGAGATCGATATGCGACGAATGACCGCGAGTCATCCATGACCCATAAAACTACACCGCGATGTTTCCCATGTGGCCTATATTAAGTTCGGCGTATAGTTCACGAACCGACCGCACGCAGTCGCTTGTCAAATTGCGTGCAGCACGATCAGCCGCGGGTGCAACTTCGTCTTCACGTAGTGTTGCCACGTTTTTGTGTGAAGACCCCGACGGCTGATGACCATCAACGAGGACACATCATTCAGCATGGTCTGTCTGTTCCCCGTTGCCTGCATGGCATGCGCGGCCAAAACGTTCTCAGCAAAAGGCTTTATGCGTTCATCGCTACATACGCGCAGCGAGCTCCACAAGGATGCAGTCTCCCCGCAGGTTGAACACACAAAACGCAACTTCACGGCGAGTCCGAATTCCCGGTCGTCGCTGTACAATCTGCAGTTCTCCATTGCATGCCTTGCACTTTGCAAACGGCAACAAATCGCTGTTCACTGTGCCCAAATCTATAATTGTGCACGTGGTTTCGTCAGGCGGCCGAGCTGCTTCGTCTGCACCGTCAACCACGAATGCACGTTTCCGTTCCGTCGCTGCAGCGGACGACAACTCCGATAACTTATCTTCGGCTTTAGCTCGCTCCTCTTCCAAGTCAGATTGCTATAGATAGGTAGTATCTAGATGCACGCGACCGCTGCTTTGAGGCTCCGCGGCTGACGGACTTTGCACAGGCTTCGTGACAACTGATGCGGTAGCTAGGCCTTCCGTGGTAGCGTCGACGACTTTGCCATGGGACATGGAGAGTGTATCGTCTCGGGGGTTTTGCTGTATAACGGAGCACTTCTTGAAATTTGCTACTAGCGTCCTTCGCACCTTTTTCGCACCAAACTTGTGCCGCGTGCGGAATTCGCGCTCAGGATTTGACATCGCAAAACTTCTCCGCTGACACTGAAGCAAAATGGCGCACATGGACGCGCGCCTTAATATTCGGAGCAGACAAAGTCAGGAGCCTCCGCCAATAGGGAGGCAAGCTCAACTCACGTGCGTGAAGTAGCGAATAGGAAGGCGTCCTGATTCTTCTTTTTGCCGCTCATTTTACAAGCTGCCAATGGTTAAATTGGACCCATTCTGGTGGTAATTTGAAGGCAAAAGACGGCTCTCCCAAATGAGACCAAGTGGGTCACGCTGGCACACATTAAAGGGCAGGGGCGTGTCACGGAAAATGTGCGATTTCAACGTCGATTTCGGCTCAGATTTAGCTAGAAAACGCCGTATAAAGAGTCTTAGGAGCTAAAATAATATTATAGGCATGAAATTCACGATATAAGTGCACTAGTAGCCGTAGATTTCAAAAACGCAATAAAAAAAACCGAGTTTTTTCGCGATTTTACAGTCTCCACAACCTGTGTACCTCCTTAAAAGAAAATGTAAGCTCTCCTCTCAGAACCATGCTGCACCTGCCCTTCACCTGTCTAAGACGGTCGGGCTAGCAGGTTTGCGCATGAACCGCAAGTAGCTCTTCTTGCCTGATGTAGATACTGTGCATATCAAGAGTTGAAGGCTCGTTTTTACTACCTAAAACATTAGTGGCTTCTTTTCAGAGGTTGATTCAGACTAAATATTCACTGGTTGATTTAGAGCGTGTGTGCAGGGGGTTTCACTGGTCATACCAGAGCAGATTGCTTTGCGATGGATTGCTCTCACTTGCTTTGCTGGCAAGTCATGGATTCGGGCTGCAATTGAACGATTGGCATATGTCGCTCCTGTCGCTCTGTGAGCAACCTTGGTCGTGCTTTTCGGCGCAGTGACTAAGGTTGCCATGGAAACGTGGTGTGGTAGCTTGGATAGAATCTGAAACCAGTTAATGAGGCACGCATAAGTCACTTTCGGTGTAATCTTGCATTCTTGTGTTCCACCAGTATATCTGGAGCGGTACAGTTTGAGTGCTCGCTCCAGGATTTTGGTGGCTGCTCAATATCTCCCAGTGAAAAACGGCATAGGTTTGGCCGATTATTTAGGCCAGAATCCCAACGAAATTTACCAGGACATAAATGTTTCTGACCTTAAAAACAGCAACTCGACCATCAATCTGTATGGCAATTGTCCAATATCTTAAATGATTCAGATATGGTTGACATTATTAAAATCATTTAGGCTATCGCATCTGGCCTCGCACTATAGAGGCTGCGATGCATCTGTGATACCTTGCTTAGTGATACAGGGTTGTAATCTGTTGTCAGGATTTGTCTAGAATTGTTCTTGGGCTTTGTGGCTAGCTTTCACAAAAGCTAACTCAGGCTTACCACACAAGAACACAAGATGAGAGGCATGTGTTCAGGCCGTCTCACATGGCAGAAAACACGGCGATTTCTAGGCTGCTAATTTGCTCACAGCGAAAAAAACCGCCGATCTCCCTTGCCGAAATGGTCAGCGGAGAGTGACCAACATGTTGTGAACATGGGCCGAGTAATCAAAGTTGCACCTATTAGCTTCTTCTGGTTATGGCCGGCTACTGCATACTTTAGATCGAAAAGTGCTTTCAGATTACAACGCAAGCTTTTTGGTACTGTTCATGAAAACTTGACGAAATGCACGGATTATCACATTACATTTGAAAAATTATACAGTGTCTACCACAAAGATCAGCAGCAAGCAACCTTGAGGGCCGCGGCAAGCGGAGCAAAGAATTGGAGCCCAGTTGTAAACGTTGTAAAATGAAACCACTATAAACAGCGGTTGGTGAACGGAGCAATCACAATAACTTTTTTTTTTTGGCAACATGTGAAACGGCCATTCTTTTCATGTTATTGCAAGAAGCCTGCTTTTCCCATCTGTTAATGGTTACTTCATTTTAGAGTACTTTTTGTGTTTTTTGTTTCAAATTCAGCCCATCATTAGCTGTCTCAACCCTGCTTGGTTCTGCATGTGCCTCACATGGGAAGCCTCTGTAGTGAACTATTACTTGGAAGCACCTTATTGCGCTGTTTCTTGAACCCCATGTTATGGCTGGATATTATACTTGCGTGCAAGTTTTCCTGGCAATGAAGGCAGGGCTGCAGAGCCAAAATACGCATGTGCTACTGCTGACGAGCATACTAGTCCCAAAATTAACTCTGTGCTGTCTGTGTGCGGATTAAAAAAACAAACAAACAATATCATTCAATTTTTATGGAATGCTATTTGAAAAAAGGCTCAGCACAAGCTGAAGTGATATTTATACAATTGCCGGCAGTTTCGTCGGACTATGCGGGAACCGCTGAAAAGATGGCTAGTTCGAAAAAAAAGGATTTGCCAGAACAAGAAAATATAGCAGCATATCCACGGAGTGAATGATGGA